AGTTTGGAGTTTGGTGTTTTGGGGTGTTGTATTTGGAGTTTGGTGCTTGGTGTTTGGGGCTTGGGGTTTGGTGTCTGTTTGGGGTTTGGCGTTTGGAGTTTGGCGTTTGGGGTTTATTGTTTGGTGTTTGGGGGGGGTGGGATTTGTTTTTTTTGGCTTTGGTGTTTGGTTGTGTTTGGTATTTATCTTTGCTTTGTTAATTCTCCTTTCTAAAAGACTAATAGATTCTACCCCCCCCCCGGACTTATCGGGTCCCCCGCGCGTGCTGTAAATTACATATGATTCTGACCACATGTCCATCCTAAATATGAATTCATACCATCCCAGCCAAGCCGGGTTCCCCCCCCTGCGGTTCCCTTGTAAAAAAAACACTATGCGGTGACATGTTTTGTTCTAACATAGCACTTTTTCGTGAATCCCTTGCAACAAATGGGACGAAGTGCACACGCGCGCGTCGTGGCGCGCGCATGCCGAAATGCTTCAAAAACTTTCGGTTCCGGGGAGATTTCAAAATTGAATTTCCAAAAAACATATTAAAACACATGGTTTCGCAACACTGATTCAAAAAGAACTTACGCGCGAGGTCTTGCGAAATCTTTATAAAAAAACCATAGGTTTTCCAAGATTTTCACACAATGCTACCAAACGGGCTTCGCGCGCGCGCATGTCGAAATCTGTCGAACGCTCTTGCGCGTGTGCCGTCGCGAGAATCCTCTGCAGAAAAATAGGACGAAGTGCAGACGCGCGCGTCGTCGCGGGCGTATGCCGAAATCCTTCAAAAACCTTCGGTTTCGGAAGAATTTCGAAATCGTGCGTCCAAAAAACCTACAAAAACACAAGGTTTCGCAACACGGGTTTTCAACAAAATTGTGCGCGCGCGCTCTTGCGTCGTCGTCGTCGTCGTCGTCTCCCTCCTCCCTCGTCGTCGTCGTCGTCGTCGTCGCGTCGTCGTCTTCTGTTTTTCCTCGTCGTCTTTGGCGTCGTCGTCGTTTCCGTCGTCGTTGTCGCCGTGGTCGTCCTTCCTCCCTCGTTGTCTTCGTCGGCGTCTCGTCGTTGTCCCTCCTATTTCGTCGCCGTCGTCGTCGTCGTCGTCGTCGTCGTTCTTCACTCCTCCCTCGTCGTTATCCTCCTCCCTCGTCGTCGTCGTCCGTCGTCGGCGTCTCGTCGTCGTCCCTCCTATTTCGTCGCCGTCGTCGTCGTCTTCGTCGTCGTTGTCATCGTCGTCGTCTTCCCTCCTCCCTCGTCGTTGTCGTCGTCGGCGTCGCCGTCCTTCCTCCTTCTTCGTCGTTGGCGTCGTCGCCGTCTTCCCTCCTCCATCGTCGTTGTCGTCGTTGTCGCCGTCGTCGTTTTTTCTCCTCCCTCGTCGTCGTCTCCGTTGGCGACGTCGTCGTCGTCTTCGTCGTCGTCGTCGGCGTCGTTGTCGTCGTCGTCGGTGTCGTCGTCGTCGTTGTCGTCGTCGAAAACATTGGAGACGTCGTCGGTGTCGTCGCAGTCGCTGTCGGCGGCGCCGTCGTCGTCGATGTCGCTGTCGTCGTCGGCATCGGTGTCGTGGCCAAGTGCCACGCAGTACCTACCGTCACGGTCTTGTCTGAAGATGTCTTGCGACCAAGTTGCGGGTGGGAGGGTGGGATGTTTGCACGAGCAGTGGAGAGGACAGCTTCAAGACAGTCGAAGTGGGTTCCCTACCTAGGCTCTGCCTAGAAGGGTTCTTACTGTGTTGGCTTAAAAGGCCGGGCAGTGGGGCTCGCCCCGGGCGGTTCCCCCAGGATCCGCCCCCGGTTCCCCCGGCATCCGCCCCGCGGTTCCCAGTTGCGCCCCTGCTTAACTTAGCTTACCTCAGCTTAGCTTAGCTTAGCTTAGCTTAGCTTAGCTTAGCTTAGCTTAGCTTTAGCTTAGCTTTAGCTTAGCCTAACCTAGCTTAGCTCAGCTCAGCTCAGCTCAGCTCAGCTCAGCTCAGCTTAGCTTAGCTTTACTTAGCTTAGCTTAGCTGAGCTTAGCCTAGCTTAGCTTAGCTTAGCTTAGTCTAGCCTAGCTTCGCTTCGCTTCGCTTCGCTTAGCTTAGCTTGGCTTACCTTAGCTTAGCTTAGCTCAGCTTATCTTAGTTTTGCTTATCTGGTCTTAGCTTAGCTTAGCTTAGCCTAGCTTAACGTAGCTTAGCCTAGCTTAGCTTAGCGCATCTTAGCTTAGCTTAGCTTAGCTTAGCTAAGCTTACCTTACCTTACCTTAGCTTAGCTTAGCTTAGCTTATCTAATATTAGCTTAGCTTCGCCTAGCCTAGCTTAGCCTAGCTCAGCTGAGCTTATCTCATCTTAGCTTAGTTTAGTTTAGCTATCTTAGCTTAGCTTAGCTTAGTTTAGCCTAGCTTAGCTTAACTTATGCTGCTTTCCTAGGGGCTCCAACTCCTAGGTAGGGTCGCTCTGGGATAGTTTGTTTGTTTGTTTGCTTGTTTGTGCGTGTGTGTGGTGCTTTGGGGGTTCGGAGGCTCCAAGCGGGGTGTAGCCCAACTTTGCCGGGGTAAAGCCCGTCCAACCAAAATGCTTATATAGCCCGTCCAACCGGGGGATAGAATTAGGTCCTGGGACCAAGGAGGCCGATGCCCGAGAGGGCGCAGGGGGCGGAGGCAAGCGCCAGGCCGGGTCGCACGGCCTGGTCCCCACGGCGGGGGGGGGGGGCGAGGGGGACGACGAACGACGACGAACAAGGACGAAACGCTTTTAGCTCCTGGCGGCTGGGTGAGGTAATGAAGGCGTTCGGGCCAGGCGAGCATTCTTTTTGATCGCGGCGATGGCGGGCGATACGGGGGGGGAGACGGGGGTCGTAAAGGAACGCCCCCCCGCGCAGTGTGGCTCGGGCTGGGGGGCGTCGCGTTATGGGGGGGAGGTGGGGTGGCACAACACGCGTTATTGCCCAAAAAGTAAAAGCCACCCTCCAGGGGGACCTGAGGATCCGGATCATGGAGGGGGAGGGAATAAAGAACGGACGACGAAAACAAAAAGGGATCCGGGCCGAGGCCCCCGAGGCTCCTGGCCTGGAGACCGCGGGGTTCCGGGTCCTACAGCGGGAAATTGATCAAGACATTCATAATTTCAGAAACCTGGGTCAACTTCGAGACAACTTCTTGAGACAAGCCTGGGCCAATGTCTGTTGATAACTCTGGAGGGGCAACCGTGCTCAAGAAACTGGGCCAGCCTTCCGGCGAGCTGGTCGAGAAACGCCGGCCCAGCTTTTCGGGAGGAGGTTTCTTCGTCAGATGCTCGACTGTACACCCTGCGAAATGCTTTAGAAATCATGGGTTGAGAAATTCATAGTCTCAGATTTTGAACAAAAACCCAGAATGTCTATCAAATCTTAGGATTTACATTGAAACATTAAGAATAATCGAGACTCTGGCCGAAAACTTGGGTTTTCTTAAGCATCGCCTTGACTGTAGGGAGGCAGCAGGCCAATCAGAGGGGGCCTGGAGGCTTGGACGTGGGGCCCGGGGGCCAAGACGCCAGGTGAGCGGCGGAGAGGCACGGGCCTCACACGCGATGGCATCGCGACCTTGCGCGATGGCTTGCGCGGGCCGCCAGCGCGGCACGCTGCAGCGGAGACGAGGGCGCCTACGCGCCATCTTGCGCAGGCAGCTTGCGCGCGAGTGTCGGCGCAGTCGAACCCGGCTTTCTGCGCCTCCCAGGTGGCTTCGGGCAAGTGGGCTGCGGCAGGCACGGGCCAGGTGCGGAGGTAAAAAGGGTGGGGGGTGGGCCGCGGCGGCCTCGAGGCTCCTGTCCCGAGGGGGCTGCGGGGGAGGACGGCGGCCGAGCGAGGCACCCAGACGGGATCTGGGCCATGGGGGCACCGATGGGGAGGGGAGGGGAGGAGGAGGAGGAGGAGGAGGAGGAGAGGAGGAGGAGGAGGAGAGGAAGAGGAGGAGGAGGAGGAGGAGGGAGGAGGAGGAGGAGGAGGAGGAGGTGGAGGAGGCGGAGAAGGAGGCGGAGGCGGAGGAGGAGGAGGAGGAGGAGGAGGAGGCGGAGGAGGAGGAGGAGAGGAGGAGGAGGAGGAGGAGGAGGAGGAGGAGGAGGAGGGAGGGGGGGGGCGGCGCGACGAGCGAGCGACGAACATGAGAGGAACCCAAGCCGAGGGGCCACGCGGCCCCCGCCCGGGGAGGCCGCGGGGCTCCGAGGCCCCATGGGAGCCCGGGGGCCGAGGGCAGGGGGGCGCCCGGGGGCCTCGGGCCAGGGGGCCACGAGGCGAGGCGGCTTCGGCCAGTGGGCAGGATTACATGCCATTTTTCGGCCACGCGTGGGGTGGGGGGGGGGTATGGGGAGAGGGGGGAAGGCTTCTACGAAGCACCCCTGCTTCTTAGGGAAGGCGCGGGCCTTGTCTGTAGATTGAAGGCTGGCGCCTTCCAGCAGAAGCAACCTCCTGCTGAGCAGCCTCCCCCCCGCCCTCTGCCCCCCTCCTGCGCTCCGCCAAGCTTTGGTGAACCGACGGGATATCTGAGGGCACGTCGAGGGCCTCTAGGGGCACCCAGGCGGGCATCGGCTAGCCCTCAGGGAGGCAAGGGTGCGGAGGGGGCGTGCCAGCCCCGAGACTCCTGGCCAGGTGGCAGAGGGGCGGGGGGCGGCGACGACGAGCCAACGCCGCAAGGGCTCCGAGCTCCAGAACACAGCCGCGCAAAGGGAATTGGCAACAAGTCGCCGCCCACCGCGTCGACACGACCGCCGTCACCTTCTGCGTTTTTCCGGGTGCTCTGGGGGAATCTCGTGGCCCCGGCTGGATGCGGGAGGGGTTCCTGGGGCCCCCTTTCTGCAGAGACTTTGGGTGGGGGGGCAGGGCGGGGACATGGAAGCTCGATGAACACATGTTATGACCAACTCCAGAGCTCAGACCATCTCTCTGGCTGGCTGACCATGCCGAGCTTGTCCACCTCGTCTTCGGAGACGAATCTCAGAAGCCTCTGGAGGTCTCCAGAAGCCGAAAGGGGCCCGAAGACTACGCGGGCGTCCGCCCCCCGCGCGCCACTGGTGGTACGCAAGGATCTCGAAGCGGTTGAACCGCACGCGCCGGGCGAGCTCCCGGTAGCCGACCTCCCCTCCGGCAGTGCCCCAGTGCGGGCCACGCAGCGGCCGCGGAGGAACCAGAAACTCGAGAGCTCCCCAAACCGAAGAGCCTCCTGCCAGACAGTGGGCCCCTTGTCACACGTCGTCCATCGACGATTTTTGGCAATTTTTTCAGAGGCCCTCTGCGCGGGCGCTTGGTTGCATCTGGCAACGGAGGGTCCACGATCGGACGCTACGGAGGGAAACACCTCCAGGGTGGAGGTCGGCCTGACCGGACAAGAACGCGCACGTAGATGGGCAGTATCTAGAATATGGACCCGTACGATGCTGTCGTTGGGGCAATCGGGCCTGCAAGCGTTGCAGAAGAGGGCGTGCGAAAAAGGAAGGTGGCGGAGGGAGGAGGGGGGCGGGGGAAAGAGGGAGGAGAGGAGGGAGGTTGACAAGGCAGAGGAAGGGTGACGAGAAACATGAGAAGAACAAAGGGGAAGGGAAGAGGAGACACGACAATCTAATCACATTGGAGCTCTGAATACTTAAGCTAGAACGATCGATGAGCTCAGCGCCCTGCTTCGGCAGCTGAGACCTAGTCGAGCTCGCAGGTGGCCTGTCAGGAATCACGCCGTGACAGTGCTGATGACTTGGCACAGGAGAGCGTCGAAGGCGATTGCAGCGCGGACGAGAAGAAATCAGCGAAGACGACGCGCGCGGGTTAGCCCCAGTAGAAAAGTCAAGTCAGTCCGCTTACAGTCAGCGCAGGAAGCGCAACGTGGACAATATACAAAAGCGGGCCAGGACACCAAGGAACACCAAACGTTGCCTCGACATCTGTGCCTTCAGAATGCGATCCTCTTGGTGAGCTCGGAGCGCCTCGGCATGGACTGCTGGCCGCCCTCGATCGACAGAGGACGACTGGGTAATCATGAAGGGGCCCCAGGACACACAAATAAATACACACACATAAAAATATTCACCATATTTTCGCATATTTTCTGGGTTTTCGTCTTCCCCCCACTTCCCATATTTTCCAATATTTTCCTGGGGATCGACGATTAATTGTGTCTGTGTTTTTTTTTCCCCTCCTGAAATCAGAGGAGCGGCGGAGTGCGACTCGGCGGCCGCAGTCGGCCCTCTGTCGTTGGTGCAGCCCTCGGTGGCGGCGATCAACCCGTCCACGACATCCGACGCCTTCGCTCCGAGCCAAGCAGGGCCGAGCAGAAAATCCGACGGCATTCGCTGCACGAGGAGACTTCGGTTTACGTTCCTGCTGCCGCCGCAGTGGATGACGAGTGGCAGAAAAGCACTTTGAGACTCATCAGAGTTGCGTAGAGCACCGAAGGGAACATCCATTGCCGATCTTAGGGGGGGAGGGAGGGGAGCAAAGGAAGAAACACGAGACACTTAGCTCCGCGCCACTCTCTGAGAGCTCCAGATGCCCCCGCCCCCCCCCACGGCAGGGCGCAGCGGAAGGTATCCGCCATAGGGTACAACAAGGGTCCGTCCGAGAAAACTCTGCCGTACACGAACGCGGGGCGATCTCCTCCGCCTCAGACCTGAATCAACCTCGGGAGATCATCCAAAGGCCAATGCGCTCTCCTCGGTGAAACCCGAAGCCCGCAGGCTTTTTCGAAGCCCTCGCGTGGGTGGGCTCCGCGTCTCCGCACGTGCCCGCGACCCGCACGCCGGCGCTGTTCCGCAAGCGCGCCGCACTCGCCCGTGCGGAGCGGGTGCACAGCCCGCGCACGCTGCGTAACGCACGCGCCCGGCAGACGTCCGCTGCCGCGCGGCCCGCCTCCCATGGTGTGCTGCGGCGGCCACGCTTCGCCGGCAGAGGGCGCGCGCACACGCCTGCGGTGCTCTCCGCCGCCCGCTTGCTGGCGAGCGGAGGGCGCTGCGACAGTCAAGCCCTCCAATCGGTTCGGGGACACACTTGCGCCGACACGTGCGTTGCAGCACACCTCGCGCATGCCAGCCTGTCTATGGTGTATAGAAGGAAGGAAGGGCGAGCAGAATGACTCGGGGGGGATGCAGGGGAAAACAACATGAGGAAGGCGAGGAAGGCGACATGAGGACGTGGAGGAGAAAGAGAACCTTGAAGATGACGGAGGCAAGGAGCACGACCAGGCGGGACGAGGAACACCAGAAGGCTGTCTTGGGACCGCCTTGACGCAATCTACACACACGTTCTATTCGCACACTCGCACACACACGCTGAATCCACACACGCTGTACATACACGCGCTGCCTACACACTGTATACACGCGCTGTATCTCACACGTTGTATACACACACGCTATGTATTTCCAACACGTGTTTACGGTGCGCTTTCCCTTTTGTGTAATGTGTGTATTTACGATGTGTGTTTGCGTTGATGTTTCACTGTGTGCTGTACACTTCGTACTCGTACAACTGTACGCTTATCTTACTACTGTGTACTTTCCACCTGTTGTGCTGCGAGATTACGGTTTGCCAATGCCCCTTGGGGCCCTCTTTGCCCATGCAGGTCTCGCTGTGGTGCTCTGCTCGTCCGAGGGGACGATGGTGCGGCCGAGGCTGTCGTCGTCACCGTGGGTGCACTGACTCTCGATGCGGGGCGCTGTGTGGCGTCTGCTTCTTCGCTTGTCTACCTCGCGCGAGTTGCAATTTGTCGGCGGTGGACAAACCTCCCTTTAGTAAACCTCCCCATAGTGAAAACGGCCTGGGACCGAAACCGACGGGCCTGGACACGCAAGAAAGACGGCCGCGACGCACCCTCGCGAACCGAAGACGGCCAATTCCTCAATCGACGTGGCAGGGTAGGAGGTCTGTCCACCCCCGAAGTTGCTGGCCTCGGCCTATCTGACGGCCTCGGCACGCTCGTCATCTCACACCTGCCAAGGGCGGCCGCTGAAGAGCCTGTGCGCGTGATCGCTCCACGCCGTGAGCCTGGACGCTCGGCAGGACAGGCAGCCGCGGTAGGTCGCCGCCGGGTGCCCGCTTGCTGGGCTGGATCTGGTGAGACTCCATTTGCGGACGACCTCGTCCGGGCGTGGTCTGTGCGAGCTCTGGAGGCCTGGAAATTGGCACCAACACCAGCACAGGGGGTCGCCTCCACGTGGGAAAGGTGATCCTAGATTTCGGTGTTGGTGGTAATCTTTCGGTCGCCTTGGAAGCCAGAATAGTTCCACCATCGCCGAGATCGGGATCTTCCCTTGGTGGAGGCACACCGCCGATCTTGGTGTTGGTGTCAACCTCCAGGCCTGCTCGAGCTGCTTGAGCCAGCTGTGGCAAGCGGTGCGTGGGTGCGCCAGCGTGTTGCGGCGGGACCGTCTGGTTGTGGCCGATCCGCGTGGCGTCCTCGCTGGGGGATGGAAAAAGCTGCGATGGAGGCAGACGCTGATGTGAAGGTTGGCGAGCTGGTTGGGGCTTGTGTCACTTCGGTTTTGTGGACTGTGGTGTGGCCGTGCTTCGTGGTGCGTCGCGGCGATTCGATTGTAGACTGGACGGAAGTGATCGTCCCGGTGGCGGCTGTAGCTGCCATTGGTCGAACGCTTTCCTGTCTTGCATGCTGGCTGCTGGCCTGGCGATGTTGCCTAGTCGCACTGAGTTGCTGATGTGCGCCCTAGTGGACCTCTGGATTGTGATGTTGATATTTGCCACTCGGCAAGCGTGCGTGTCTTTGGAAGCTGCCTTCTGAAAGTGCTCCATGGGCGCACGGGCGGGGTCACTGCAGCGTTAGCTGCCGCGACCATCCATGGATGGCCAATGAAGCCCGCGGTGGCGGCATGAGCCGATCAGATTGAAGAGGACATGAAGTGTACTTCTGGTGCGTGAGATTTGAAGCAGACTCTTTGCAACAAAATCTGAGTGTCGGCTGTGACGGCAACTTTGTCGCGTTTCATGCATGTATATTCGTGTATACGTATAGGAGGGGGCTTCATCTCTTGGCAGTGCAGAAACAACTGTGATAACGGCTGGGGACTGACTGGACTGGGGTGGATCGCTGATGGGCTCGTTCCGGTGCTGCGTCGCACAGGTCCTGGGGTCTCCCGGTAGGTCGCCGTGGGTGGGCTGACCTTGAAGCTGCCGCATTGCGTTGGGCGTCGCTTCATGGGGGGCGATAAATGGGGGACGGGAGAAAGGTGCACTTTTCGTGCCCTGAAGGCTCCCGTTCTGGCCCTGAAGGGCCCCTTGAGGGGCCCTTCAGGGGCCCTTTTCTGCAGCCCTCGCTGCCCCGACCCTGATCGACTGCACGCAATTGTGACTTTGGTGCGCGCGGCTTTTTGGGGGCAGCGGGGACCAAACACAAGCGCAAGCAAAACGCTCCTGACGCACCGCGTTCGGCGATCGGGGGACCCGGTGGGCCCGCACCAAAGGTCACTCCGGCGAAGGGTCATTTCCAACTACGCCCTTACGCATAGTCGACCTATCGCTCACGCAGTCATCGCAGCCGGGGCGGCGGCCGGTGGCTGCGGGGCAGGGTGCCGCTCGCGGTGGCGGTCGCGCAGCGCAGACAGGAACGCGCACGCGGCCGACCACCGCCGCTCTCCCCGATGCGGCAGGCTGTCTGCACGGACCGCTGCCGGGCCTGGCCCTGTTCTCCAGCGGTCGGAAGAAGTGTGCAGACACATTTTTTGGGGGGCTCTACGCCGCTCGAAGGCACCAGGAACAGTCGCCAGCTGCTGTGAGCAAAGCAGCTGGCCCAAGTGTGCAGAAACACGAGGTAGGAAGGCGTCGAGAGTAGACTGGGCTTCCGCCCGCACCCCTGAAGTGGAGGGACGAGGGAAAAACACTCGATGATGGAAGCAGGAAGGCGCCTGAAATAGTTTGGGATGTGGGGATCCAGAGATACCCACCTCCAACGACTGGCGTGCACTGCTACTCCCTGGACCTCTCCTGGGGTGCGTTCTGACCAGAATCCCGAGTCGAGTCCAGCGGTGGCGACAGGAGGGCCTCCAAGGAGTCCCAAAAAGAGGCGGCAACGAGGGAGGGGTAGTGGTATGGGTGCCTTTTCCTCCTCTGACCCGCGGCCTGGCGTGGGCAGCGTCAGCCAGGCGCGCGCGCGCGGTGCAGCGCGAGGCCGCGGTGGGGCCTCACGGCGCCAGCTCCGATCCGTCCGCCACGCCGGCCAGGTAGCCCTTGGCCGCCTGGAGCCCGTCCAGCTCCTTCTTGCGGGCGTTTGCCCGAGAGTCGAAGTGGGTGGCGACCCAGCTGCAGTCGGCATAGATGGCGCTCTTCAGCGCCTCCTCGGAGCCCTTGTCCGCTTGCTTGCCGTCGTGGTACGCCTGCGTGTCCTCGATCTTCGCCTGCAGTTCGGTGAGCTCCTTCTCCGAGGCCATCTTGGTGTTGAGCTGTGCGTCCCTCGTCTTGGTCATGGCCGCGTTCTCCCTCAAATACTCCTTCTGGTTCTCCTCGTCCTCCGCGCGAGCGCTGGCCATCTCGTGCCGGATGTCCTCCGAGATCATCTTCAGGATGGCCACCACGCCCTCGTTCTCACCCTTGCGCCCCGTGTACGAGGCGCCGCCCGCGTCCCAGACGGTCTCGGGGGCCTTGTCGGCGTCGACAGTGTACTCCCGGGGCTCCTGCTTGGCAATGAGGGACATGGAGATCTTGTTGCGCTCGTAGAAGGCGGTGAGCGCATCGATGGCTTTTTCCACTAAGATGAGTGCGTTCTGGTCATCCTTCACAGACTTCACGTGTGTCTTTCGCTCCTGACTCCTCATCGCAAGCCGTTCACGCATGTCGTTCTCGGTGTCATTAATCGCTATCGCGAGGTCGCTGATCTCCTGCTGCAGAGTCTTCTCGGTGTGCCCCATTGCCTCGATGCTGGTCGACGCCTTCTCGATCGCTGTGTCCAAATCCTCCATGTCGTTCGTGTTCTTGTTCTCTGCGCCCTGGCAACGGTCCCGGTGGGCGATGTCCATCTGCTCCTCCTTCCGCAGCAGGGCGATCATGCTGTCCACGGAGGCGATGACCTTGTCGAAGTAGCCGCCCGCCCGCGCCTGCGCCACGATCCTGTCTAGGGACCTGCTGTGGAACTTCCGAGCGAGACTCTGAAGGGCCACGAAGTGCTCCGGCGACACCTTTGCGGAGAAGTCTAAGTAGAGAAACACTAACATGCATAAACATACAATCTCGAAGGTCCGCGAAGTTTTTTTTTTTTTTTTTTTTTTTTAAAAGTCCGCGAAGATTTCTTGGATCGGCGCTGGACCCCCGGAGCGTGCCAGGAGCGGCGCCCGACGCGCCGCAAGGAATCCCCCACTCCGACCCAACAAAACCGCAACGGGCTCCGGGAAATAAGCTTACGCCGCTCGTTTCTTCTTCGACTTCACGAGGGGCGTGCATTATTGTTGCACGCATTTCGGTTGACGTTGGCCCCCCCCTGAACCTTGCTGGAGAGGGCGCGATGCGGGCCCACGGCCTTTCTCTGCGTAGCGAGCTGCACCAGAGCGATGGCCAGGGCAGACGAAGCCATGAGGATCATGAGATTGCCCCCCCCCCCCCCCACCCCCTTGCCTCCCAGAGAGGAACAAGAACAACACATAGCAGACGCATAAACTGTTGGTCCTTCGCGCAGATTTCTTGGATTGGCGCTGGCCCCTCTGGCGGCGCCTCCGGCGCCGTGCATTTAAGCAATCCGCGCGCAAATCCGAAAGTTCATGGCCGTGCCATGTTTTGTTCCTCTCTCCCAGTGGAAGAGGGGTGAGCGTGGGAGTGAGAACCAGAGGCGACGAGAAAGGAACCTAAAGATCGCACGACTCGCTCTGGTCGAGTCCCCCAGCCTCCTGGACCTCTCGACTCCGAGGCGTGGAAATTGCACCAACACCAACTCGGGAACTTGCCTCCTCTGGCTGGAGATGATCCGACACGTTGGTGCAAATTTCTCGGCCACCTAGGAAGCCAGAATAATACCACCATCACCGGGGTCAGGATCATCTTCTTTCGGTGGATGCAACCGCCGATGTTGGTGTTGGTGCCAACCTCTAGGCCTCCGATCGGCCCCTTTCCAGACGCCAGATTTTCGTCCTGATCTTCTCTTGACGGCCCCGCGGCCCAAAGGCGGCATCGAGGGCGCTTGAGAAACTGAGGGGGGAACAAAAGAACTCCCAGGCGGGATTCGGCACACTTCGGGGTTACTTTCCTGCAATCCTCGATCCCCCACATTTGGAGTTAACAGTTGTCGTCCGCCCGAGAGGACTGCGAATCTCACCGCCCCAATGACTTTGGCTGCCCTCGGATGGAGGAGGAGTTCGCGAACGTCTCCAGCGCCTCTGGGGAGCTCAGGATCTCGGCGGCCTTGTTGATGCCCTGGAGCTCCTGGGTGCGCATCCTGACCCGCTCGCCCCACTCCTTGGCCTTGTCCTTGCACCCCTCCTCGGGGAGCCAGAAGGCCACACGCGAGAGGCTCACGCCGCGGCGACGTCGGTGCTGCCACTCTCCCCCTCTCCCCCTCCCCCTCGCGGCCCACCGTGAGTGGCCCAGTGGGCTCCCCCATGGGTGAATGCCTGGCCTCCACGCCGAGTGATCTGGCCCGACCGCGCGCGTTCTCCCGCTTGACGTCTTGCGCCGCACCGCCGCGCGTTCGGTCGCGACGCCACACAGTTTTTTGTTGTTGCGTGTGTGTGTGTGTGTGTGTGTGTGTGTGTGTGTGTGTGCCGTTCTGGCTCCCTGTCTTCCTGGGTGGTCGCGAAGAACTCCTCGTCGGCCTTCAGCTGCGCCTGGGTGTCCGCGCGCAGGAGCTTGCTCTCCGCCATCTTCTTCGCCTTCTCGGCTTTGGAGAGCTCCTGCTGCTCCTTGGTGCCCTCCAGCGTCTTCAGCTCGGCCTTCTTGGTGGCCATGAATTCCTCGAACGCCTTCTGGGCGTCCGCCTCCTCCACGTTGCCCTTCTCGAGGCTTTGCGTGAAGGTGTCGTACAGGCCCTTCAGGTTGGAGGCGGCCGGAGGGCTTCAGCTGGAGAAGCCCAAGGGTTTTCAGTCAAGAGGGGGGGATGCGGGCAAATCTGCACAAAATCGGTCCCTGGACCACTCCTGGGATCGAAACCGGCATTTGTTTTAGCTGCGTCCTGCCGTGGCGACGAGGGTGCCCTTTCTCCCCCCCCTCTGCTGCCGGAACGAGTGGTGGGCCACCTCGGCCCCCCAGCCAGCTCGAACCTTCAGGATGCCCACGATGCGGTCCGACTGCGGGGCGTAGTCGCCGAACGGATTGTGAGTGTTGCCCGTCTGCGCGGCTGACACCCCGCCGTGCTGGACCTCATCTGGGGCCCTCGCTGCACGCACGGGTCCGGATCCCGTCCTCTCGCCCTCCCCGCTCGTCCCTCGCTGTGCCCGGCAGGCATTGGGTGCAGTCGCGTGTGATGAGACATAGGATCGGGAACTGTTGCTTAGCGCGTCACGGCGGCGGCCCTGGCGACACACTATGCCGTGCAAACGGGTAGCGTGTCGCTCCGCTCCGCGGGGCGGGAGGCTGGGAACGGCTCGGGACATTGACGCTCGGGGACTGAACGATAGCGTCTCGCGCCGAAGCGTGGTGGGCCGGAACTGGCAGAGCGACACGCTAAGCCAAAATTCTAGACCGTATGCGCAGGCATTGATGATGAGATATATTCGCCTCGCCGCCCAGGCCTCTTCTTTTTCACCGGCGGGCTCGGGACGGCTGGTGGTGGAAGTGGTTGTCTGCGCCACCCAGCCCGCCCCCAGTGTGCGAGAACAGCGAGACGCTTCATCCGACGTTCGACGACGACGCCGTTCCTGGCAGAGGAAGGGGGGGTGAAGGGGGGAAAGCCGATCACACTTGTGGACGTAACGACGCACCACACCCCAACGCAGGACCATGAACTGCCCGGACTTGCCGAAGAATGTCCTCGCGAAGTCGAGGTCCTTCTCCGAGACCCGTGCCGAGTAGCTGGCCTTCCTGAGCACCTCTGGGACAGGGAGACAACAAACCACGCTCGCAACGTCGGTCCGGCCAAGACAGAACCCTCACGAGTCGGCGTGGCAAATGCTGCTGGGACGTGGAAGCTCGAGTGCCGCAGGCCGAACATTGGGTGTGCGCGGAACCGCTGGGGAGCGAACAGAACACACACAGACACATACCTAGACACACACACACAGACACGCAAACACACACAGACACACACACACAGACACACACAGATACAAACAGAGACACACACAGACACACACACAGACACACACACACAGAGACACACACAGACACAGACAGACACACACAGACACACACAGACAGACACAGACACAGACACACACACACAGGCACACACAGACACACACAGACACACACACAGACACACCCACACCACACCCACACCCACACCCACACCCACACCCACACCCACACCCACACACCCACAGACAGACAGACAGACAGACAGACAGACAGACAGACAGACAGACAGACAGACACACAGACAGACAGACAGACAGACAGACAGACAGACAGACACACAAGCACTGTTTCCCTCCGACGCGTGGCTCAATCCAGACCACGGGCGCAAAATAATGGGACTCATGTATACCTCTGATCGGCTTCCTTGTGAAGATGCCCGGAATCAGGAGGCCAGAAAACACGCGGAGTGACTCCGAGCCCGAAAATCCAGGCGATGCAGGAAAACCAGAAGAACAACGGTGAAGCTGCCGAACTCTTCCAGAGGAGGGAGGCGCATGCGGAGCGGGGGGCCGCCGCAAGAACGGCGCCGAGCGAAGGCGGCCAAGCCAGGAGCAGGAACGCACGCGCACACACAACTCGCACAGGCACTCCTATAGGGGACCAGCCTGCATAACTCGCGAGGGGGCAGCCGCGAGGGGGCAGGGAGAGGGCGGGGCAAGGGGAGACGACAAGGCGGGGGCGGGGAGAGCCGTGCGGGGTGCAGGCGGCCGAGGAGCAGGGAGGAGACCGTGCCACACACACACACACAAACACAAACACAAACACACAACCACAACCACAATCACAGACACACGCACAAGCACAAGCACAAGCACACGTACAAGCACAAACACAAGTACAGGCGCAAGCGCATGCGCAAGCACAAGCACAAGCAGAACAGCAACCACAAACACAAGCACAATCACACACAAACACAAACACACCACACACACACAGACACACACGCACACGCACACGCACACGCACACACGCACACGCACGCGCACGCACGCACGCACCGACCAGTGGCAGGTCGAGGCCGACAAGCGTGGCGCGGTGACGGACAGGCTGCAAGTGCAGCGAGCCAAGGGGAGGAGCCAAAGCATACGGTCGGACCTAGGCGATCATAACATCCTTCAAGAACATGAGACCGTCCGCCGGCCAAAACACACAGAACATCCAAGCGTATCCTCCCGAGGATTCACAAGCACGTCCAACAAACACGAAGAACATCAGGGTACCCTCCCAAAGCCGACCTCGATCTTGTACCTCGGTCCGACTGTACTGGGGGCAGCAAACAACAGGCGGACGCGCAGGCGCCGGCCGACACACGTTTGGGGCGTCGCGGCCACGCGCGCAGAGGCGCGGCGTAGAAAGTTGGGCAAAGAGACGCGCGAGGCCGGCCCAGGTGACGCGGCGTGGATTTGGTGGATCCGCCCATAGGGCCGTAAGGGATCAGCAGCATCACTCCCAGCGGGGGGGGCAGATGCGAGGGGAGCAGCCAGGAAGGGGTGACGGGAAGACGGGGAGAGCGGAGAGACGGCGATCAGCCCGGTGCACAGTGTAGTGTAGTCGACAAGGCTGAGGCGCAGTGACGAACCAAGACGGCGGCCCGAGGAAGAACGAGGCAGCAGCAGACGAGGCCCTGGGCAAACCACGCACAGGGATGAGACAGCGCCAGCGAGGCGCGCCGCAATAAGGAAGCCGGTGCCGCGCAGCGAGCGGAAAGGTGCGGACAGGAGGCCAAGCGAAGCCCCGCTGGGGTGGAGAAGTCAGCACACACAAATAAAAACACACATACACACAAACACACACGCACAAACACACACACACACAATCACACACACACACAACATACATACGCACACAAACACACACACAAACACACACACAAACACACATCAACACACAGAAACACTAGCAAGCGCAAACAAACACACAAACACAAACACACAAACACACAACACACACACACACACTCACACACAAACACACTTTTGAGCGTCGCGGGCTGGAGCCACTCCAAGCCAGATGAGTCAGCACGCATACACACAAACGCACACCCTCGCATACACACAAGACTGGATCTGCGGGGGCCTCGCCGACTGCGCCAGATCTCCTCCGCGCAACCATCCCTGGCGCGGGTGACGGGGGGCAGCGCCGACGCAGCGGGGATGGGGGAGCATGCTGTGCACAGGGTGAACTGAATAGTACAGTGAAGAATCTTTGCTCAGCGTGTCGCGGCGGCGGCCCCGGCGACACGCTATGCCCTGCAAGCGGATGGCGTGACGCTCGGGGACCGGGGCGTGGATTCCGTGTCCGCGCCGACGCGCGGTGAGACAGAACGGGCGGCGCGACACGCTAACCAAAAGATCCCGAGTGCGTTGGATCCGTGAGCGGACCGCCCAAGGTTGTCTGATGTCGCGAGACGGCGCGAGGTTATGATGTCTCTTGTGCTCTGATGGTCTAGCGGAGAAAGCTTCGTGGCGATACATCGCCCGTAGATCGGCGAGAGGCCCCCGATGGCGAAGCCTCACATCCCTGGACGGGGTGGGCTATCAGGCTTCTGTCGGCGATTAAGTGGCGATTGGGGGTCGATGTGCTGCCCCCTGAGCCCAGACAGTCTGGATGCTGTAATAAGGAACGCGGAATGAGGAACGATGCACCTTTTTGGCACCAGAAGAGCCTGGGTGCATGAGGAGGGCTAAAGGAAGAGCCCCTTCCGAGCCCAAACTGTTCCTCATTTCAGCGTCTTGGCTGTGTGGACACCCATGGGCTCAGTAATCGAAAAAAACGCGTCCTGGGTAAATAACAGCGCCACGCAAGCATCAGGCCGCACCAGATCGTTGGAATACAGGAATCGGATCGGATCGGGCTGGATTGGTCGACACCGAATTGGCTTGATCTGGTCGAAGCTGACCATCGAGGTGTCCCACGATCCAGGGGGTGGTTTCAGGACCGAGGCGTCTTGGCTGCACCCCCTTCCCCCTCAAGCCCACCCATCGCTGCACCCGCCTTGAACGCTTTGATGCGCCCGTGTGGAAGCCCGGCGCAGACGTCCGAGGTTTGGTGCCCCTCCGGCCCGCGGGCCTCCCGAACGCCGTCCACCACGCTGAGCGCGCGAGCCTGCTGCAGGGTCTCGAGGAAGCCCTTCTTGCCCGAGCCGGCTCCAGAGAGCACGCTGATGGCCGCCTCGAGGGCCCCGATGCACTGCTCGGACTCGGTCTTCTCCTCCCCCCATCAAACCCATGCTACTCCTCGTCATCATCCTCTTCCCGACCATCCAATCATTTCCCTCCTCCCTCCCCCCACCCCCCCCACGCCCTCGTCCTCCTCCACCACTTCTTCTTCCTGATCCCCCCTCCTCCTCCTCGTCCTCCTCCTCCTTCTCCTCCTCCTTCTCCTCCTCCCTTCCTCCTCCTCCTCCTGCTCCTCCTCCTCATATTCCTTTTTGTCCCTCCTCCTCCTCCTCCTCCTCCTCCCTCCTCCTTATCTCCCCCTCCTCCTCCTCCTCCTCCTCCTCCTCCTCCTCCGTTCCTTCTCGAAATCGGCGTTCTCGTTGGCGCGGACCTCCGTCGCCTCGCGCTGCGACTCCCTGTTCTCGGCGATGAGCTTCTCGAGGTGCGCGATCTCCGCGGCATGCGCTGCGACCTCTCCTGTTCCGGGAGGCCAGGAAAGGCCAGGGAAGGCCTCATGAAGGATTGGTAGCCCTCCTCCTCCTCCGCGCGAGGGAAGCGGGTCCAGCGCCGATCCGAGAAGTCCGCGCGGACCTCAGAGTTTTTTTTTATGCTTATGTCATTCTTTGTTCCACTACCCCTGGCCCCTCTTGTTGAAGAGCCCGAGCCCCACAAGCCCTTATTCTTCCACCTCCTGCGCCTCCTGGATCTGCGGCTGACGGACTCTCAGGCGCGTGGCTTTCCTGCAGGTTCAGTGTTTCGCCACTGGCTTTGAGGGGTCTGGCTTCTGGGCTGCCCCGTCCTATGGCATCGAAGGAATCGAAGGGGATGATGGGGTGCCGACGAAGAGGATGAGGAGGATGGGTGATGATGAGGAGGATCGGCGATGATGAAGATGCGGGAGATGAGGATGAGGATGGTCGGTGATAAGATCGAACGACGAGAGCGAAAAGCGAGGGAAGTCGAAGGGGGTGATCGAGGGTTGATGAGGCCTCAGGAACGGTCATCATCAAATCGGGAGGCAAAATCGAATCGGTACGTGCGTCGGATCGGGCAGCATCGGCACGGAGTCGGAATCGAATCGGGTCGGCCGAGCTGGGATGCACAACAACGCCATGCAAACACCTGGCTCCATCGGATCGTCGCAATATCGGGATCGAGTCAGATCGGGCCGGCAAACACCGTCATCGGATCGGACCGATCGGATCGAAGTGGACCCTGACGGGGTGATCTAGGAACGATGATGATGATGATGATGATGATGATGATGATGATGATGATGATGATGATGATAATGATGATGATGCTGATGTGGAGGAGGATGAGGAGACACCACTCCGCCGCCGCAGTGTCGCCTCAGAAGCGGCCTTGGGAGAGGCGGCGAGTAAAGTCGGAGGCAGCAGATATCGCCCTCGCCCTCGCTCGCGCGAAGCCTGCCATCGACGCTGGAGGCCGAGGAGAAGGAGGAGGAGGTCGATAGAGAAGGATTGGCGAGAAGAAAGAGGAGGAAGAGGCGGAGGAGGATGATCGAGGAGGGTCCTGGATAAACATGTCTTGTAGTATCTCAGCCGTCCTGGACCTCCAGAGGCCTCAGCCAGAACCTCGTGATTAGCTCAACGAGGCCTCCAGGGACCCTCCTCTGGAGACTGCCATCAATACATTAGCGGCGCGTGCAGAATAGGAAGGGGGAAGGCTTCTTAGAAGGAGGCTGCTCCTTAGAAGGTGCGGGCCTTACATCAATAGAGAAGGTCCGCGCGCGCCTTCTGAGACCCTTCCCCCTCTGCGCGTGGCCGAAGGGGGTGGGGGGGGGGGCACACCAGCCTCAGGGGGCGACGCATCGCCGATGCATTGGCGATGCGCCCCCGACGACGAAACCGCGCGCTCCTGGGCTGGCCGGGACCCCCGAGCCCCGATCGGTGGTGTATGAGCGCTTACTTGGGGGAGTTCCCGCCGTGCCCCCCTCTCAATGGGACGCACAAGGACTGTCTAGTACTGTGTGTCCGCCTTGGAGGTGGGCGTCCGACCCGAACATGTGGTACAAACATGGTACGGGCAGAAAGTGCCCAGCACGGAGCTGATACTAGAGGATTTCTCGGCGCGCGCGTCGCCCCTGGGGGGCGACGCACAACTAGTATTAGTATCTTGGGGTGACGCCGATCTCAAGGCGATCCCAAAAGGGGGAGGGGGCGGTGGGATTCACATGCAGTGGGGGAGGCGGGGGTGGGAGAAGAGAGGGAGGTGTGATCGGGTCGGGTGACAAGGGGCGATATCGTGCGGGCGGGGTTGACTGACCAGCTCGCGTACCTGGGTTTCCCAACGCCTCCTGGCGACGCAGTCGCCAACAAATTGAAGAACCCACCCAGCAGCGGGGCCGAAACCAACCGCACACAGTAGAATTCATAACCTCCTCTTTCCCACTCCCCCCTTTCGTCCAGCCCGGTGTGAGCAGCGGGGAAGCCAGGCATCCAGGCGCCGCAGCAGCGCGACGGGCGTTCTGGTCTCGGGTCGTGTCTCTGAGGACCAATTCCCGGCATCAGGCCATCAAGAGAAGGCCCGCGACGAGAACCCAGTCCCAGAAATGTCGCCGCGCCGTTTGATTTAGGTCGGTAATGTCCCCCTACAGGCAGATTTTGGAAGAACA